GTAAATATATACGAATATGAGCATGGAATATAGAAATAAAACTTAATATTCATACAGAAATTTAAATTAGATGAGTTAAAAGGGAAAAGTAGAGAGGAAGAAATAGTAGTTCCAGACAAAGGAGCGTAGGACTAAATAATAATAATAATAATAATAATAATAATAATAATAATAATAATAATAATAATATACCTTTAAAGAAGTCTGATTTATTCTAATATCTGATTTCCTTTTTTTTTTTAACAAATATCCCAAATCTTCCATTCAACATTTGGGAGATTCGTAGTAGTATCAGAGATAACAAAACCTTGACTTTTACTACCTGTATTTGTTAATTTTATGTGTCAACTTGGCTAGGCTATGGTGTCCTGTTTTTTTGGTTAAACCCACTCTAGAGTTTGCTTTGAAGGTACTTTTCAGATATGATTAACATTTAAATCAGTAAATTCTAAATAAAGCAGATTACACTCCATAAAGTGGGAGGGCCTCACCCAATACATTGAAAGCATTAAGAGCAAAGACTGAGGTTTCCCAAAGAAGAAAGAATTCTCCTCAAGACTGCAACGTAGAAAACCTGTCTGGGTCTCCAGCCTACTGGCATGCAATACAAATTTCCGACTTGCCAGGAAACAGTTCCTTAAAATGAAACTCTCTCTCTTTCTCTCTCTCTCTCACTATGTAGACAGATCAATAGATAAAAAGATAGATACATACACAGGATATACACATATATCCCATTGATTCTGTTTCTCTGTAGAAATCTAATACACTACCCTTGAACTGTAAGTACTTAACCTTTCTCTCTAATTAGTAAGAAGAAAATGGTTTTTAAGCCTTAACATATACATGCATATTGTGACATTCAGATAAAAGAGAAATGATAGAAAAAAATGATTGGTAATTTAACTACTGTTTTGTTTAATTAAGGACGATGAAATACAAATTCCTACTTTCAAATAATAATCAAATTTAAAAGAAATATGCAAAACAAGCCAATGAAGACTACTTACTTTCTTGTTTGCCATTGTATCTAATGTATCAGCATACACAGCATAAAATATCCTTTAATAATCTTGCATTTCTGTAACACCACATACATCAGAGTTTTTAAATAAGAGAATGATACACTTGACTGTGAAATTCCTTTCTTTTGTCCATTTTTATCAAAATTTCTGTGACAGTGATTGTATGTACTATTTTTGACGTAATTAAAGTCTCAGCCTCTGAAATACTTTTAAAGTAATATGAAAGCCCAGAAGAATGTGATTTTCCCTGCCAGCAGCAATCTGCAATAGGGTCTTATCTATACAGTCTAAACAGCTCACCCCACTGGGAAATAGCAACCTCCCCATTAAGGAGATGGCATTATTTTTCAAGATGATCTGTTCCATGTACTCCTACTCGGCATGCTATCCATAATTCTCCAGATAAATTGAAGAGACTGAAAGATTTATGAACTCATGAATTCCTCTCTTGTAGGGAACCCCAGCAGAATTCACCAGAGGATTTCTTATGCCTACGTGAAGATCCTTTGGCAAAACAGAAAAAGTGCAGAAAGAGTAATAAGACATTAAAATCGACTCCTATTTACTAGACATTCTCTTACGATTGTGTATAAGAAAGAGCGGGACCACACTATACCTTGCAAGGTCATACTACATCTTACAAGGGGCATATTATGTGCTGCTGACCACTATATCTTTTCTCTATCAGTTTTACATTGATTTTTTGAAGCAAGGGATTATTTTAAACGAAAGAAGATATATACATTATGCAGATCTTCTTATGAATCACATTTGTCATAAAGATTAGATTAGCAATCTTCTAATAATTGCAAAATATTTACTTTACAAATATATATATTAAAAAGCAACACAAAATAAAGGAAAAAAATGCACTATTTGTTTGAATGACTGATTTTATCCTTATAATGAAACAGTGTTCTGACATTTCTTCAAATAATTTTTCTTTACATTAAAGGAAACAGCGAGACAAACTTATTAAGTGACTTCCTCAAAAAAAGATGATTGATTAGAGAAAAGAGTTTTATTTAGAAAAATTTCAGCACATTATTTTGTGTTTTGGAGATGTAATGGTATTTTGGCTACAAATAATTGACTATATAAAAATACTTTCTCATTAGCCATTAGGAATCCTCCCATAGTATCCACTTGTGAATTTTTACATAAAAATGTGTATAATCTAACTTCTTAGGGTTTTGTCGGTGAATTTATTCAAAATTCTGTTACCACTGTGGACTTAAGTCAAGGTCCTCTCAGGGCTCAAAAATCATTTCAGTTATCAGTATACCAAGCCCTAGCACCACAACTTGGGTTTCATAAACTCAAGTCTCATGTAGCAATTCTAGTACATGTCTGTAACACATTTGTTGATTTCTCTTCTTCCATAACTAAATTCTTTTAGAATATAATTCCTATGCAGAATGTACAGTTGACTCTAATTTATCTGTAAAAAAAATTTTTTTCAGAGAGGAAGAGTGTGTGTGTGTGTGTTTGTATGCCCGAGAGAGAGAGAGAGAGAGAGAGAGAGAGAGAGAGAGAGAGAGAGAGAAAGAGAAAGCACAGATTTAATATAGTGTTTCTTTGGGCACTCTGGATTAATCAGGATGAGTGCTCATTTGGGGGCCTACAGATAAAACTCCCTAAAAGTAATATATGATCTATACTACATAGTATAGAGATTTATAGATATAATAGTATACGGTATAACTTCACATCACGCAGTTCAGACATTTGATTATACATGGTCACCCTTAGGGCAAAGTGAAATTTTCTAAGTTTAGAATGCAATTGGATTCCTAAGGAACAACGGTGATGCCTACCTAAGAGAGAGAAATATTTGCAAGTTGTTTTATTGGGCTTATCTGTTGTTTTAATTAAATAACTTTTTTTCAACCTCAAGCAATAGATTGATAAGTACAAAGACAGTAGAGGTTTCATGTAATTGGGTGCATTGGCTCATATAGGTCCAAAGGTGTGAAGATTTTTCAAATTATCTGATAATGTAGCTGCAGAATTTATACTGAGTTCATTGGATAGTGTTTTTTGTTTAAGACATTGGGCTATAATTCTCCACTTACTCATCCATCAGCTCTTCCTCATTGTCAACAAAGACTGTCCAATAGTTCCATTGTCATTCTCTCTCTTTTGAAAATTCTTGAAGAATTAAAAAGCTCACGTTAGGATGCTTTGGGCACTCTCTAGGAAATCCTTCCATCTCATTAGGCTAGGTGCCCAGAAGTTTAGGCATGGAAGACATACAATGAATTTCAGATCAAGTCACAGAATCAGAATACTTTTATAAAGTGACAATAACCTTGAGGATGGATTAAATAATAAATCAACATTCAGCTTCACTTCAATACATAAACATTTTTGCCAAATCTTGGGACATAGCTAAGTACAAATCTTTTCCAATCAACTACAGCAAAGACTATGGAGACAAGGAAAAATAAACTAGGAATAAGTATTATATAGGAAGTTGTTCCTACAAAAATAAGTAAGTGTTCATAAAAGAAGAGATAAATACTAGAACATTGTGTTACCAGTAGAAATGAAAATACGGAGCTGTAACAAATTTCAAAGTCATTCCTAATAGAATAGATATAAGAAATAAGATACAGGAAAAGTTTAATCCAATATGTGTATCTTTAACTGTAATCAATAGAAATATTACTTTTATCAGGATATTGGCAATAGACTCAATAATAACTCAAAAAAGTATAATGAATGTGTACTGAATTCATGATATTGAAATGGACATTTCAGGAAATTGGGACTTGTCCTGGATATGTTGTTGGAAGAAAAAGTAATCAGCAAAGAGACACTAGCTGAAGCTGAAATGCAAGATTAATCTAACATGAAAGCCTTGAGTGATAGAATTTTTAAAACTCCATCATTTTACAGATGAAAAATTGAAACCTGAAGTGGTTACAAATGTTCCCAAGGTCAAAGGAAAGAATTTCCCAGGCAGGGCTGGAAAACATCCTTTCACAGAATCAAGACTAACCTATGTTCTCTCCTTACTCAAATTCGACACATACCCCAAATTCCACCTCAAATCTTACTTTGCCTCTGTGTTTTTGTATCATGAGTATTCGTTCTTGGCTCAATTTAAATATCATGTATTGTTTTTATAAGGCATTTGCTATGTAGTACACTGATAACTCTTTCATAGGTGTGTTTCTTACTGCAACAATCAAATATTCTTGTAACGAACAGCATCTTTACTACTCTCCCTTGAGACTTGGCAGAACTGTATGCATTTAGGATGCACTCAAAGAATGCTTGCAGCCTGGATGAAATCAATGAGTGAACACTGTCACCTCTCAAAGCATCAAGTTAAAGTTCTGAAAGCTTCTGTATTTTCAAAAATGATACTTTAGCTCTTACTTTATATATACATCAAGAAAGAGCATTTGATGCAGCATATGGTTCAACATGTTTTAATTGCCAGTTACAAGTTATTATATTTTATAGAAAGTGTCTTGTCATTTTCATTTTATTATGTTTATTATTTCTTTAAAAACTTCTCTTCTTATTTCTAGTGAACTTTCCCAGAAACTTCAAAGTCATTTTTTTTTCAGATATTTCCTTAGAAGATTTGTATACCCACCTCTATAAGTGTAATTAAAATGCAAATATTTCTATCTATAATTTAATATGTTTTTATGCTTCTTGTGTCAATTCTACTTATTCATCATAATTAGTATGCCCTGAAATGAAGCTGAAGTCTAACGAAAAATAAACCTGTGATCAGGTCCATTTTTCACTAGAAATTACAGGCAAGTTAAGTAGTCCCCTTGTGTATAAATCTAATATGCACAACGCTATTAATAGAATTCAATTTATTGTTGGAGTAACTGACTTCACTTACAAATGATGTGAATAAAATAATAGACAGCATGAATATAATTCAGATCAAATTCATGAAAACCAATTATTTTATTTGCAGCAAATTGAAATATAGTTAAACTGCTGGCACATATTAGGTGCTGAAGAAATATCTGAGTGTATGAATGAATGATGTCCAGAATACAGTAAAAAAAAAATCAGGACACCATCTTAACTTATTCTAGGTACTAACGCACTCTATCTTATGTATCGTACTTAAATTTTGCTTATTCAAGAATGTCTATTATGATTTATCAAAATTACACATTCATTTAAAAATACTAAAATTTCATGAAAATCTAGTGACTATCATTTTTCTCCACATTAAATAATAGCTTAAAGTCATACTGAAGAGCAATGTAGAAGTCTGTATGTTGGATTCACCTTTATACAGTAATCACACAATAACATGAACTGCAATAAACAGAGCAAAACTATTTGGCCCGCTCTTATATAAAAATAATAGAAATTGGAATGCAGTCACTGGAAAACATTTTATGACACAACGCACAACATCTGTTTTGTTTACACCATATACTGTAAATTTTAACTTTGCACCAACTGGCCAGATCCTTTCCCTCTAGCCTACTCTCTACAGTGGAGAACAAAAACGTGTTTTTTGCTTGTTTGTTTGTTTATGTTGTTTATCTAGGTTAAATTGATGAGGAGACAGAAAATACACGTTTGAAATTAAAAGTGAATTACAACTTACAATTACCCTAAAATGTAACTTCAATGCTTTATATATATAGCTATCATAATTTGTTTCCTATCATCTATTTCATTCCTGCAGTTCACACAAGGAAAAGAAATTTAAGGAGTGAAAATTTATGTAAAAACTAGGATATATATTCTATGTATAAAATTTTTTAGACTTACTGTTTTAATCAAATTTTGTTTATCTGATTAGAGAAATAACATAGCTTAACTATGAAGTTAGAATCTACATTATTAAAGGACAAATAAAACAACAATGGAATGTGCACATAAAATCTAAGTAATGAAGTCATTAACCAAATATATTTTACAGTTATTCTAGCACCAGGGGACATCTGACAACGGGGGACCTTTTTGGTTGTTATAATTCCAGGGATTGGGTGCTACTGGTATCAAGTGGACAGAGGCCTAGGATACTGCCAAACATCCTCAACACACAGGACAGCCCACAACGAGGAATTAACCAGCCTGAAGTATCTAGAGAGCCAAGATCAACAAATTCAAGTGGGCTGTTAGACGTATATGATGATCATGGGTATGTATTTGAACATTTGCTAGTCCCCACCCCCAGGACCTTGTTTTCATTGAGATTATCAGGAATATGTATAGTCCCCCCAAGAAAGAAGGGATTAATTATAATAAATAAGCCATAGGCATTTATGAAATAAAATTAGCCATTACCCTGAAGCCCACAGGTATTATAACTATTATGCGGGGTATAAGTTTATAATGAATGTGATACAAATATATAGAGGGTAGGTACTCAGTTACTTGGGAACTTTAAAGAAAAGAATAATGAGTCCTGAGAAAATAGCCTATAATTGGAAAATAATCTAATATATTAAATTCTAGAAGTGCTAACATTTCTGTGCACTAAAATCAACCCTTTAATGTTTTAGTTTCACAAAAACAACAGGAGACAGATTATCTCACTTTAGGCTGTTTACTTTATAGCTACCTAATCTTGGTTATTTTATTTCTTCTACAATTCTCCCCACTTTGAGCTTTTCTGAGGATTACAAGCAAGAACAAATTATGCAAGTTCTTTAAAAAGTGTATCTCAAAGTAAAATATGATGTTTTTCCGCTGACATCTAAGCCCTTTACTGTTCTACATTTTTAAATTGTTTGTGTTTTCCTGTTTTGTACGTGTGGTCTGAACTACGACAAGACCACATATGTAAACAGTTTATAACGAAGCCTTATCAAGGCACAGTCTGCAGCATAGGCGCTGACAACATTCACCACGTGTATGACATCAGCGTTAGGAAATTATATTAAAAACAAAAAGCTACGAATAGTCATCAATTCAGCACAATTCAATTCAACGCAGTAAACTTAATTAAGGCACTGTGCTAAGTGCTGAAGATACAACAGGAGAACAGCCAGCTTTCTGAAGAGACAGTTAACAGATGAGGATTAAGTAAGCATGAGTCTGGATAGCTAGCACCTGAGAGCGCTCTCCAGACTACTATTTTTCCCTCCTCCTCTCCTTCAATATATTGACATATATTTACCATTTGTTCCTCAAATCCTTTTTTTTTCTCCTTACATGCTCAGTCAAATTGTGACTGCTTGTGACAACTGAAGATATGCATTACGGTTCATGAAGGAATCACCTAGATTATGGTAGTGGATTCTAGTATTTAAAGGCTGTATCTCAAAACCAGATGAAGAATTTTATCTCATCTGTAACAAGAGGAGAAATTTTTACTATTTTATTATTTTCCCACAGCAACACGAAACAGTTTTCCAACATAGCAAACTCAGTATGGAAAGGAAAGCTCATACATAGAGAGAATACATCTCATTATATCCTTCGAAAGAGTAAGTATCCCGTCTGTTTAATGGACCCTTTCAAGGGCACACTCGTGGGTGAGTCTAACAAATGCTCACTGACAATAATGAGGTACCCGTGAAACTATTCTTGTATGTAGTTCTGTCTTATGCAAAACTGCAATGAAGGCAAAGTTTATCTCCTGTTAGAGCTCATCTCTTTTAATGTTCTTACTCCTCAATTTCTCAGTAGTAATTCTTCCGATTTTTACCTTGTGATTTTTGTGTTTCTGGGTTTCTATTTGCATTTAAAAAATGACTTTCTGAAATAATTAGCTATACTGTTAAATTTAAAACAATAATAATAATAGTATTAACCACAGAAATCCATCAATCACTTACTATATCCGACGCCACATCAAGTGCTTTATGTTAATTTCCTCTTTTCATACTCACAGCAATTCTAAGAAGTACAGATTTATCCCTGTTTTACAGATAACATGGCTCTGAAATCTTAAGTGAACTGCCTGAACACACAACACCTAGGAAATAAATAGACAGCTACAGAAACATGTAACTTTTTTCACAACCATTTTACAGATTTATATTTGTTGTCATTTAAGTTCATAAGCAATGTGGAGACTAGTATTTTAATTTTGGCACTTAGCAAGATGTGTTAAAAATATTCTAAATTCAATCACTTTTTAAAATAAAATTTAATAGGCAAACCTAGCGTATATATATTTCTCAAACCACGTTATGCAGAACACTGATCTGAAGAGGCACTTCTCAGAAAAAAACCCAAGATAAAATAGTTTTCATAAAACAACATATTTGGTAAAATGAATATTTAATAACACTGTCATGTTAGATATTAAGAAGCCCCTGCAGTTAAAAAATATTCTGAAAATTTATTTTTCTGTCAACAAAATAGTGAATATGACTTCTGATTAAACTTGCACCCTATCTTGTACCACATAATGGTCCAATTAAGATTATCAGACTTTCAGTTTCTTGCTCTTCAAAGTGAAATGAGAATTTAAAGATATTTGTGAAGCCTTCTGAATGTAGACTGTATCTAGATTTTAATTATTTTCCTACAAATACACTACAGCTATTCTATCTACATCTAGTCAAACATACTTACTTTTAACAGTTGTCTTTATCAAATATTTTCAAAAATATTTCATATTTTAACTGACTCTACTAACCTCAGAATTCAATTCATAGGAAGAAACTTTCATGTACACATTAAAGAGAAATTTATTGCATCCTGTGGAATAGTAAAGCCAGTTAGAATTTTTAGAGGAAATAGAATGTGTATCAAATACACGTCAGCTGAAAGAGCTTATTTTGTACTAAAGTTGTACAGATTAGCTTTCCCCATAACATCATGGGGGAGATGCTGATCAAGGGTGATCAAAGTTCTTTATTATTGGAAATTACCTATACAAATTGGATGTTTTATTTGTCCTAAAGGAATACTTCATGTTTTTGTTGTTGTTGTTGTTGTTTAAGTAGTTTCTTCTTTTTTTTTTAATAAGAGGGAAGGTAATCTATTGTTAAAGTTAAATATATGCTTAAAAAATGCTAAAATAATAAAATTTATATGGAACCATCAAAGACCTAGAATTGCCAAAGCATTACTGAAGAGAAAGAAAGAGCCTGGAGGAATAACTCTCCCAGACTTCAGGCAAT